CTGATGTCACATGGATTATTTTACAGATCTCCTTGCTACGTTTCTGGACTTGGGAACATTTCAGTTGTATTGCTGTCTATGCAGAGTCAGACAGCTCTCAGATTCCATACAAAATATCTTAATTTGTGTTCCGAAGATGAACGAAGGTCTTACCGGTTTGAAACGACATGAGGGAGAGTAATTAATGACAGAATTTTCATTTTTGGGTGAACTAACCCTTTAAGAATTAACAGAGATGAATGGGAAAGCCCCTCAAGGGTATACAAGGTTGTGTGTGTGTGGGCTGAAGTATCTTAGCGGGCCTCCTTATCCATATGTGACTGATTAACAGGGTATATGGAGCATGACTAGTGAACATGTTTCCATCAATATTATAGTGAAACAGTTCAATGAAAATTTAAATGCAGATGATTACTCTTAGCTTGTCGGGGCTAAAAGATGATTTTTGTAGACAATTTATCTGTGCAATTGATTCAGCAATGCTCTATCTGACTCCTAGCTCTCATCATTTTATCTGGGGTTTTTTTTTTTTTTTTTTTGCAGCTGTGTAGATTCACATTTGCACGGACAAATCTCAGTGAAATAATAGACTGGAACCCTGGGAAGTGTTTTTACATGAGTCACATTTCTTTGGACGGCATAGTTATGCAATACACATGGGAAGATGGTGAAAAGGATTTTAGCTGGGGGTTTTACCCACAGTAGATTTTACATTTATACTCCGAAAAGCCTGATGTGAGGAATAAAATAAATGAACTGTGGTATCTTTGAGTGTCAGCTAATGCCTTGGTCTGCTGTTCTGAGTCTTCATTACTCCTTCCCGTCCCTTCGGGAGCCCTCTCTGAAAATAAACATCAGCCCTTTTGTCTCTATGGCAACAGTTTTACACTTCACTGAATGCTCAACTAGAGTGGGTGAAAACTGAAGATGACATTGATTGCAGTCGATAATGTGGTGAGGAAGTTAATTTGGGTTAGGGAAGCAAGTCCTATCTTGTTGATATGAAATCTTGACATTAATCTTGGCAGTGTTTTAAATAAGTTTGATAATTCCAGCTGAGTCTTTCAGCTCCATGTTGGGATTACAATCAGATTTCATGAGTGCAGTTTGGCCTTTGCCCTCGGCCTAAATTTGTGGACCGTGAGCGGAAGTGGAGGGCAATATGGCAAATCTTTACAGGCATGCTGAACATTTGTTGTTTTCTTTTTATGTCACTCCTTGTCTAAATATTATTTAATGCCCTTCATCCCGGATTTGCTGCTGGGATTGCAGAGGAGATTTCCACCCCTAAGCTTTCACTTCTTAATATGTGCTAGTAGTTTTCTCGCTTTTTATGTAATGGAAGTGTCAGACTGTTCCATGTTTTGTCTGTGTCTTGCTCCCCAGGTGTTTCTTATGTTGATTTCTTCCCAGGTGTTTCCCATGTTTAATTTCCATTGATCCCAGGTGTGTCTTGTCATCCCATCTTCCTGTTCTGTGTATTTAAAGTGTTCCCAGTCCCGAGTTCTCTGTCCGCTGTTAAACGTCTTCCTGAGTTCGTCTCCCTTGGTTCATGGCATTAAAGTCTTGTTAAAGTATTCTCCAGCATCTCCTCGTTCCTCCATAGTGTATTGTGACAGAACAGCGGACCCTTAAAGTGTTCCCAGTCCCGAGTTCTCTGTCTGCTGTTAAACGTCTTCCTGAGTTCGTCTCCCTTGGTTCATGGAATTAAAGTCTTGTTAAAGTATTCTCCAGCGTCTCCTCGTTCCTCCATAGTGTATTGTGACAGGAAGTTTGTTTTCAATGCTGCTCTGGTATTTTATTGATGAAAGGCACTGACCTTTTGCAATAAGGGGAGCTGCTTTACAACTTTTAAATCTATTTTTAACTGGACTTTGCTCATTATTGTACATGCACCTTTTTATGAGCACACTTTATTTGAAGACATGGGTATTTGCACTTTTAAAAACTCATTTGTCAAACCAAAGATCAAATTACAACAAAGTACTGAAAGCAAAAAGGTGCTTGATAATGATGAAAAACGTTAACAGAATGGAAAATATACTTGCATACACTTTTGTTCCAAAGTTGGAGGTCAGGAAGTTTTTTAAAAGTAATAAATACTGTAATTTAGCAAGGACATATTTAAATAATCACAGGTGATAGTAAAGACATTTATAAGATTTCTTTTTGAAATACTGTTATTTTCAGCTTTCTATTCATCAAAGAATCCTGTTAAAAATGTATCACAGTTTTCACAAGAATATTAGACAGTTTTCAACATTGATAATGTTTCTTGAGCACCAAATCAGTGTTAGAATGATTTCTCTAGGATCATGTGACACTGAAGAAATTCAGTGAAAACTGTTTTGTGTAATGAAAGTGTAATAATATTTCATAATATTAACTGTTTTTACTGCATTTCTCATCAAATAAATGCAGCTTTGGTGAGCATAAGAGACTTTTTTCAAAAAAAAAATCTACTTACTGAATCTTAAATAAAATTATTTAAACCCATAAACTGCATGTCATCAGATCATGTCTGACTTATCTGATGGTGGTCCCTATGTATCAGTCTCTTGAATGTATTACAGTTGCAACAGCCTATTTGGTCCCGTCCCAAAGTCAGGAAGGTCAGAATGACTGTGACAGTAGACAGATGAGGCTAGTGGAAGTGAGTTAAGCCACGTCAGCATGTCATTCCACTTTACAGCATGAGCTCAGCAGATCTCTGTAGGCACCTCATTCATACCAAATGCCACATTTTTGTAGCATCTAGGTCAGTATTTTGTCCTATTCGAATTCAAACTGAAAATTCGATCATACATCATATTTCTGTTGGTCTCTCCTTGGATAGACGTTTAAAAAAATCATAAAGTGGGGCTTCATTTGCTTAGCCACTTATTAGCTGTTTTTGCAAACAATTTGCGTGATCATTCCTGTCTCAGTCCTTGTAATGAATACAAAAAGCGATTTTGCAGAAAGAGTGATAAATAGAAACTGATGTTTTAAGTACATTGTGCATGTTTGCTTACCTCTCGACCTTCGGAATATTAATCGCAGACCAGAATCATGTAACATTTATATATTTGCTAGGTACCCTTTCATCAAAACATCCCTGTTCCCAAGGCAACTAAAAAGAGCCGATTTAATTGTAGAGACATTTCCTTTGGCGCTCAGCTTTTATTACTGTTTAATGAGTGTGTGTGTGTGTGTGTGTGTGTGTGTGAGACTAAAGGCTGTTGTGGTCTGATACCCAATCTCAGGTCTTCCAGGTTAATTAAAAATAAAAGGGTGACTACACTTACACTTGATTACAGGTGAGGAAATTATTAGAACTCTGCTAAGCACGTTGCAAAGCGTGTTTTATTAGCAGAAATTCAATAGAAGGCCTCTGTATTGACTTGGTGAGGTCTGCTGCACAAGTGACGCAATGTGTCTGGGAATGTTAGACTTTATTAGACTAGATTGCATTCAATTAAAACAGTGTACACATTGATTTTTATTTACAATAATAAATAGTGTTGATCATGACGTGTGTATTTTTATTTTTTTTTGTAGTGCAGACAGACAGAGATGGATGAGCTACAAGATGTTCAGCTGACTGAGATCAGGCCTCTGCTGACCTACAAGGTGAGATAAACCTATCAGAAACATCCGACTGGTGTGCAGACACACACACACACACACACACACACACACTAGCATGATTCTACAAGGTGAGATAAACATATCAGAAACATCCGACTGGTATGCAGACACACACACACTAGCATGCTTGTGTACATATACACAATCATGAACAAGCTATAGTGATATTTTGGTCTAATTTGCATGACATGCACCTCTTTTATCTTGTAAATGCCCTATTTTTATATACCCTGGAAGTCAAAAGGTGCACATTTTATTATTAGTATTAGTACTTTGTTGTTGTTGGTGTTGGTGTTGGTGTTGGTGTGTGTGTTACATTTTAGAATAATAGATTATGGAAATTGAGGTTTGGTCATATAAATAATTAAAAATATGTATTGTTTAAAGTACTGATTCAAGTAAATACATGAATAAATGCCAATATAAAATTAAATTATGGATACAAATTACTGATATATTTAATAAGCTGACCAAAATAATAATAATAAAAAATAATAATAGCTGGAAATGAGCTATAATGTAACTCTATTGCAGTTAGTTTTTTTTGCAATTTCCAATCCAATCTTCAATTTTTATCAAATCAATTGTTATAATTCTTAAATATGTCTTATAAGTCAGCTAGATATTTAGTTTAAATCAGCAGAATTTGCAGCCAGACCTTGAGCCATTGTTGATGTATATGCGCATAAATGTATGAGGAGCAAGATCTAACACAATAAAAAGCCTATAGACACGGCAGAGCTCATCACTAGTTACACAGCGTAAACCATAGTGATGCTCATGCACACGTCAAGTCTCACGACTCGTGTTACACATCTATGCCACGTGAAAACACTCTCACACACGTCTCCTCGTGTTCAAGGTCTCTGTTTTCCTCTATCTGAAGCAAAGTTCCTCTCTACCCCGTGTCTGCCTTCACTTCATCAAACTGAATATTTCATGTGGGTGTTACTGTAGCAAGAGAAAACAAATGGAGATGGAAAAGAGGTGGATGGGGTGGAATAATAGTGAAATGGTTGTTAGATAGAGAGAAAAAGTGGAAGAACAAAATTGAAAGGACAGGAATAGAAAAAGAATGGACGGGTGGGGTTGAGGTGCAAAAAAATTCTGCACAATAAAAGATATTTCTGTCTTCTCCATAATAATTATTATTCTTCCTGCAGCCCCTGATGGCAGGAATTTGCTTCATGGCATCCGCAGGGTTTGTCAGTTTAAATCTTACCATCCTTCTTTGCCACACAACATCCATTTCAGAAACTCTAAAAATAGAAATGTAAATGTCATACACCCATTAGCGTTGAGTAAGGCCGCCAGTATGATTTACTATAATTAAGTCGAGGGACAAACTTTTTATGGGTGGCTTCATCTCCCTTGGAACTAATGAATGAAATGAATGAAACAAATTGCTGTTTTTTTTGAAATACTGGTTGGAAATGTTTATTTTATTTTATGTTTTCCCTCTGGTTTATACATCTAACAGAAAACAAATGTTGGATAGAAAAAGATAGTGTCAGCTTAATAGAAAGTATTTGTAATTTCTAATTTTATAATATTTTGAGATAATATTTAAACAATTTAAAGACAAAACTGAAATTAAAACTTAAGCCATAAAAAAACATTTCCTTAAACACTTTAACTTAAATAAAATAAAACAAACTTCAGCTAGTTGCCCAGGCAACATTTCTTGTTTTAATTCAGTTTAACAGACATATATATAAATGAAACTTCTAAAAATGACAAAAACACAATATTACTACAAAATTATAATTTCATTACAATTGCAGGTGGGTAATTTATTAAAAATAATGTTGGACTTTATCATGTATATGTTGTTTCAAACCTGCTGTTTATTTTTTATTTTTTTTCTTGAAATAAAAAAGAGTTATGCAGTTCTTGCCACACAGCAGCAGTTTGTAATGACCGGCTGTCAAGCTCCATAAAACACCAAAAATGCACCATAAAAGTGGTATAAAAATTGTCCATGCACCTTATGCACAAACGCCAAGTCTTAATTTTCTGCTTTCCACTAAAAAAATGACATGACAACAAGTAAATTATGACAGAATTTACATTTTTCAGTGAACCATTGCTTTAAATCGGGGGTGTCCAAACTCGGTCCTGGAGGGCCGGTGTCCTGCAGAGTTTAGCTCCAACTAGCCTCAACACACCTGCCTGGAAGTTTCTAGCATGCCTAATAAGACCTTAATTAACTGGTTCAGGTGTGTTTAATTGGGGTTAGAGCTAAACTCTGCAGGCCACGGCCCTCCAGGACCGAGTTTGGAGACCCCTGCTTTAAACGATTGAACTGGAGAGACTCACTGACCTCTTACTCCACCTAGTGGCTTCAATATAAAGAGCAGCAGAAGCTGGACAGAGAATAATTGATGATATGATGATATGAAAATTTAATATTGTTAGACATTTTTATGTAAGTTAATGAGTGTAGAATAATCAAATGTCATCTCTTTCTCCTACAGAACTCTCAAAACTTCCAAGACTTTGACTGTCAGGTAAGATAAGACTTCGTTTAAGAATTTCTTTGGTGGATGAGATAAAAATTAGTTATTCTTAGATGCTCATTAGAGGTTTGTGTGTGCTAAAACAGACAAGTGGTGTGATAATGACTATTTTTGTTTTTTTAACCTTTTAATATAAATTTTAATATCAAAGTTATTTTGGGAAAAACATCACATTTTGATGTTGAAATAAACCTCAATTTTAGAATCTGTGATTTGATGCTACTATGTGTTCTACCTTTTTCACTCAAGGACTCTGTATCAGCTCAGACGGCCATAAACTGATTTTGTTTAGTGGAAATCAATCCATTTAAAAGAAAATACGATGATCACGATATTGTTCTAATTTGAGAAGGTACTCTGGACTTAATGCATCTTCCTGTAAAACATATCAGGATTATCCACATTGATCATTATCCATTCTGTTGAGTAATGGATGATATGATGGTGGTTGACATCTTGAAATAATTTAGATGTATACATAATTTATGAGTTCATATCTGATGTGTTTTTTTAATGTCTCTTTAGCAATGAGAAAACCATTCTTTGTGGATCACATCCTCCTCTTTCAGTGCAGGGGTCTCAGATGAGCTAAATATAGCGCCTGCAGTGAGCATGCTGAGACTCAGGCATGACTTGCTCTACATTATAGTGACTTTAGTATTCCTTACTCAGCAAGCCTCTATACAGGAGCTCACACACATTAAGTGTTAGTCCAGTGATGGGCTGACACCAGGCCAGCCAATCCAATCTCACACAAGCACTGATGCTGCAGAACCTGCACCTCATGTGCGTGAGGAAGCTCTCGTTTTAGGTGTGACTGCTCTCTGCTGGTGAAAAGAGAGGAAATGCAGTCTATCTCTCTCACCATCCACCTAAAATATCGTGCAAAAAGCCAGAAGATAAAAATCAAATAGTCTGTAAATGGTTTGCCAGTGCTTATAGTTTTAAGGTGAAATTCTAAGTCAGATTGAATGCTTGTTATGGAAAATGCTTATGTTTCCCAATTCTGTCTTGATATGGTTTTGTCCAAAGCAGTGCATTGAACGAATTTGGAAGACGACAAATTTGCATTTAATTTTTTTTTTATTACCGCTACTTTTATGTCCCAAATTTTGTTTATAATTGTCAACATTTCAACTTTTTTTTGTTAAAACTGCATTGCCCTCATTGTTTAGTTACTGTTACTTCTTAAATGAATACATTTGTTTAGAGCTTATAGATTTAAACTTTCAGTCTAAATCTGTAGAAAATAAATAAGTCAAAACAATATATATTATTCATGGGTACCGAAGACGTCACTTCCGCTATGCTTGCCGCCATTTTTGTGTCCGATATGACAACGAACACAGCACATCTAAATGAGATTTAATAAATGATAATATATTAAAATAATAAATTACCTTTTACTACCATTTTCCACACTGAGCTTTGAACTTGATTGTATTTTTAGGACCCTATGGGTACAGAAAGTGTAACAGTTAGCCCATAATAATGTAAGATGCTGATTACTTGTAAATATAAAACTGACATCAGCTCAAAGCACTTTTGAGTCAATTAGTGTAACAAGATAACGTTAGCTAGCTTACTACACAATCTGAATTTAATGTTAATTTAGCACAATTGATAATTAATCATTCTTTTTGGACAAAGCATTGTTTTATTTGCGAGCGTAGCCGTTCGAGGAAGGCTTTAAGACCTTGAAGAATCCTCTACCGGCTGGTCGCTCCCACTTCACATTTCGGCAAATTAGTTTGAGCGAATGCAAACAATGTGATTATTGATCATGAGCCAAACATCCAGCAAGCCAAGAAAACATGCAATCTACCTGAGGGAAGACGTCTTTTACTTCCGGTGTATTCTTAAAGGGGTCCTATTATGCTTTTTCACTTTTTGAATTTTAGTCAGTGTGTAGTGTGTATGTTTGGGCATAAAAAAGATCTACAAAGTTACAAATCTCAAAGTCCACTGCAAAGGGAGATATTTCGTTTTTTCCGGGGTTTGTGATGTCACAAAGCGGCCCATTAGAATATCATTAAAATAAATCCCGCCTACGGAAATTCAAATGGTTGGGGGGTGGGGAGGGGCAAGGTCGTGGTTAGAATGCTTGGTTGAGTGAGCGCATCAGACAAGACGACGACGAAGAAGTGCTGCTGCAGAGTTAGCGCATCAGAGAAAACGAAGAAGAGCTGCTGTAGCGTCAATAAACATAATACATATTACCGTTGCACTTATCTGTACATAATAAATGCAGCTATTTTTAAGCGGTTGTTGACATCGTATCTAAAACGTGATTTAGCCAAAAATAAAAAAAATGACAACAATAACGTTACCACTCTAATATGTCTTGCAATATCCGTGCGTGCAAAGGTTCTGCGCGATCCTCTTGTTCAATATTCTCGGGGTCTGAATCCGTCTCAAATTGATATGGCAATATTGACGCCATCCTTACAGGATTAGTTCACTTCCAGACCAAAAATGTACAGATAATTTACTCATCCTCTTGTCATCCAAGATGTTCATGTCTTTCTTTCTTCAGTCATAAAGAAATTACGTTTTTTTTAGGAAAACATTTCAGGAATTTTCTTCATATAGTGGACTTCTATGGTGCCCCTGAGTTTGAACTTCCAAAATGCAGCGCTTTTTTAAATGCTTTACTGACTGTCTTTTTTTGTTTTTGTATAACATTAAAATTATTTTTAGAATAATTCTACATAAATAGGTTAAGCAAAACAAATGTGACTATTTTTAGAACCTTTTATACACCTTTTATATATACTTACATACATTATGTGGTACAGTACAAATATTTTAGTGTCCTTTATTCTGTCCCTTATTCTCCTATAAAGAATCACAATTGTCCCTTATTTTCCCTTACATTCCTTTTCTGATGTTGGCAACCCTAACGTTAGCTGCCAGTGGTCCCTTCTGATTGAAGCCGACCATTTATTCCACCGATCTAACTCCTTTGGGATCAAATAAAATTGTAGTTCGGGGTTTCTCTGACGACTGTTATACAGCTAACAGCACAACATATCCCGAGCATATTGTAACCTTGTTGGGAACCTTCTGGGAGTGTTTCGTTGATCTTCTTCTGGTAGCTGTGGCTGCTGTGATCATTGACTGAAACGGGTCGTGCAGCTGTGACTCAAACACAAATATGGCAGCGATAAAGCACTGTGACGTCACATGAACCATATAATATGTTAAAACTATCATAATCCAAGAAAAGGATTGAACCGTATAATATGTTAAAACTATCATAATCCAAGAAAAGGTGTTTTTAAGAAGAATTTTTTGACAATTTTTAAGAAATGATTTATTCTGTGGATTTTTATATGAATTTTCTAATTCATATAAATGTATTTCAGATTTGATTCTTATTCTTAATTTATTTATTAATTTTGGCTCACTAGAGACAATTGAGACATTTAAAATATATGTATTTTATGTACATTTAAAAAGTATATATCAAATATGTATATGTACTGTGTGTGTGTGTGTGTGTGTATATATATATATATACACACACGCACACACAATCTTTTTCTTTTAGCTCTTAGCCAGTAATTAAAGGTTAAAGCTAAATAGCTAAAGCATCTGTGTGAATACTGCAAGTCATCACGAGAGGTTTATCATTTTTCAGAGACAATTTCATCCTATAGAGGGCATCAGAAGCTCAGAGTAAGCAAAGTCATATGCTTGACTCCAATACAGTGTCAGTATTTAGATAATATTCAAAATAATCTGAAATAGCAACAGACCACTTCCCAGGAGAAAAGATTTATTTAGAACAATATTTAATCTCTGATCCCCCGTTCTTAGTGACCTTCTATCAGTCTCAGCTATCAAATAGTGATGTAAAAATGTAGCCCAAATGTCTACAATCATATTGACCTCTCTCCCTTACTGTGTCCGTTTTGTTTCTATTATAAATTATATGTTGCTGTTTCTTAAGTTTCTTGGTAGTTAATCTTGACAGGCCTTCAGAGGCTGTGTCTGTCCATTTTGCCCTCTGATGTGCACATGCTTGCCTGAAGGTCACTCGGGTACAGCACACTCCACAAGACTGCTCAATGAGATGGAAAGAGTGACTAACACAATCTGATTTATTACTGAAGCTGCAGGTACATCAATAAGTAATACAACCTTTGAGTACTTTTGCTGTATGACTTTTTGTGTAAAATAGATGGCAAGAGCAGTGTGTATTTTGTGCCATCTGTTGTGTTGTGCAGTCTCAGTTATCCAACTAATGCATTTTAGCTAACTGTCTGATACACAAATAGACTCTACATACCTTTATAACGCAGTGTTGAATTCCAATCCACGAATGCTGAATTCTTTTGCCAGCTTCAGTTATTTCCCTTCCCTGACTACTACTACTCCGATTGTGTTTGTCTACGGTGGCCCCTGAGGAACGACAAAGAGGCTTATTGTATGAAAAACAATTTTTCAGCCTCATCTACTGATAAATGGAGGGAAGGCAGATCAATAACCTATCAGAGACCAAGATCCATAAAGAGAGATCGCACAGATGATACCACACTGCACCTCTGCTGGGTCACAGACGTGCTGCATGTCATAATGCCTTAAGTGAAGGCAACCTTGCAACCTTGGTTATTTATTGCAGTGGTAGAAAATGAAAAAATAAACATTACTATAAATCCAAGGAAACTGATGTTAGATTTAGTTCTTGCTGTTACACTGATTTGATAGCGCATTTAAGTTTTTTTTTTGTTTGTTTGTAAATCAGTGATTTTCAACTAGTGAGTCACAATGTATGAATGGGTCACAAGTGTAAATGCATTGCATGTATATGTATACATATATATGTATATGTATACATATACAGTACATTTAAATACATAGTGTACATGTTTGTGCACACACACACACACACATTTGCTTAGCTATCTAAACAGGGACGTTCCTTAGATATTGTTTTTATATACAACTAGTTTGAAATACTATAACCTAACCCTAACAGAAAACTT